ATGATTATCTATCTTAATAAGCTGCCGGACACACCAAGGCGCTTGTTGGCTTATGATTAGCCATATTAAAGCTGCCGGACACACCAAGGCGCTTGATTACTGAGATTCTCGCTCAGACACTTTTAAACTCAGAGCTGCTTGCCACTACCGGACACACCAGGTAGCAGTAGAACCAGTTTTTATTTGATTTCTTGTTATAGAAGTTAAATTTGCTATAATTTTATACATTTTGTTAAATTAACTATTTTTATGTTACAATAAATATACTTATTGTGTAACAGATTCAATTAATTTATTACAAATAAAATAAAATTATGATATTACATTTATTGACATACATTTATTTCGAATCAAAAATAATAACAATAATATACTATTCCTTCTATAATCAGTATTAGACAAAATCGTATTATACAAAATGTAAAACAATCAATAAATCATTGTACAGTAATATTAGTAGGAATAAATAATATTGTTGACAAGCCTTTCATTTATATGTTTAGCTACCTTAAATTTAGTATCTATTCACAACTATCATAATCATTATCATCATCTGAAATTGATTGAACTACAAACCTTTTCATTCTATCTGCTGCTATTACATTATTATATTTTCTTCCACGTTTGTTTAAAGACGTCACTCTATAACGGTCATTATTGTAAATATTTATAATTTTATATGGACCTGCATACTTATCTACAAGCTTTCCACTAGTTAAGCCTTTTTTTAATACTTTTCTTTGAACTTGAACTAAATCTCCTACTTTATAATTAATATGGGGCAATCTATTTTTATCATATCTTTGTTTAACCTTTGTAGTTGTTGCAATAGTATTGCTTTGGGCTTGGGCTCGTAGTTCAGATATAACAGGAATATTTTGATAATCAGTTGGTAAATCAATATCAAACCTAGGCTTGAAACCATAAATTAATTCATAAGGACATTTCTTTGTAGTGCTATTTATTGTAGTGTTAATACCTCTTTCTACCTGTGGTATCATTTGCTCCCAGTCATCATCATTTTCCCCTGTATATGCGATGAGCGATTGTAGAATCGTCCGGTTACACCTTTCTACTTGACCATTTGCTCGCGGACAGGCCACTGCACCATTAAGTACATGTTTAATTTGTTTGGAGTTACAATATTTCGCAAATGCCTGGCTTGTGAATGCTTTACCACGGTCGGTTATGATGCGCGTTGGTAATCCGAAAACACGGATGAGAAAATTTATAGTGGTTATTACGTGTTCTGTACAAGTATTTGGTACGGGCTGTAACCAAGTAAATTTACTAAAAGCATCTACAATAACTAGAAGATAGCTATTTGATTTAGAAGAGACACAGAACGGACCTAAATGATCTAAGTGCCATGTGTGCCATGGAATATTGCCTTTGTCAATAGGATTTAAAAATCCACGTTGTTTACCAGTGGGTTTTTTGGAAAATTGACATGAAATACATCCTCTAACATATTTTGTTACGAACCTACGGAGTTTTTCAAACCAGTACTGCCTTTGAATTAATTCTATGACTTTATTTTCGTTCATGTGACCATTATCATCGTGAAACATTTTTGTAACCCTCCAACGAACTGATTTCGGGATAACTATTTTAAATTCATTTGCAACTTTTTTATATAGAATATTGTCGTCTAATTTATATAAGTCTTTATATTCTATATTATTAATATTTTTGACAATATTTTGTATTTTTGGGTCATCTGTTTGTACAGCAATTATCCAGTTTTCTTCGGTTATATGTTGCAAGGGCAGGGCACTACGACTAAGCGCATCTACATGTTGCATACGCACACCAGGTCGGTACAGGACAGTGAAATTATAACTTTGTAGTTCTAACCACCATCGCCCTATTCTTGGGAGCATGTCCTTCTTTGACCATGTAGCGCTCAACGCCTGACAATCTGATACCACTACAAAGGGTCTACCAAATAAATAAACACGGAACTTCCTAATGCTTAAGACTACAGCCATTGCTTCTAATTCGTAGGAATGGTATTTTTGTTCAGTTTCAGTGGTCTGTCTGCTAAAGTAAGCTATGGGTTTTAATTCACCTTGGGGTTGTTTTTGAAATAAAATTCCACCTACACCATGACTTGATGCATCCGTGTGGAGTTCGATATCATAATTGGGATTATATATAGCAAGGACCGGCTCTGAAATTAAAGCTGTCTTGATATCAATAAATGACTTCTGTTGATTATCTCCCCACTGCCATAATTGGTTTTTCTTAAGTAATACACAAAGGTCGGATTCTAATAGCAAAAGATTTAACGAATTTTCTAAAATAACTGGCTAAGCCAATAAAACGCCTCAATTCGTGAATATTTGTTGGTTCTTTAAAATTGTTCAACGCTTCTACTTTATCTGGAGAGGGACGAATTTCACCTATTGAAATAACATGGCCAAGATATTCAATTTTTGTTTTTAGAAAGCAACATTTTTGTTTTCTTAATATTATTCCGGATTTTGTCACTAAATGGAGGATTTTCTCAAGATGCTCTAAGCCATTTGAAATGCTTTTAGATGACAAAAGAATATCATCTAAATATGCTGTTGCAAATTCAAATTTATACTTATCAAGGAGAATATGCATGGCACGTTGAAAGACAGCTGGAGCATTGGCTAAACCAAAAGGCATTCTTATATTGGTACTGTCCAAAAGGTGTAACGAATGCTGTGTACTTTTTGCTATCAGAGTGTATTTTTATTTGATGATAACCTGCTGCTAAATCTAATTTAGAAAACCATTTTTCACTACTTAATTTGTCTAATTGATCCTGTATGATCGGAAGTGGGTAACGATCTTTTTTGGTTATTTTATTCAACTGCCTATAATCAATACACATTCTATATTCTCCAGATTTTTTTGGAACTAGTATGACAGGACTAGCATATGGTGAATTACTAGGTTCTATGATATCTTCTTTAATTAATTTGTCAATAATATCGCGGACAATTTCTTGTTCTTTCAAGGACATACGGTAGGGACGACAATAAAAGGGTGTTTCACTTAAAAGTTCTATTTTCATTTCAACTTCAAGTTGGCCAATATTTTTACCAGAATCGTCATCGAAACAATTACTATATTTTTTTAGCAATTTTTTAAGCCTAAGAAGATCATCACCTTTCACATCGGTGTCGATATTGTAGTTATAATTTTCTCTTATATGACCTCGAGCAATACAACGAGTTGAGTATAGTATAAGAGGTTGGCATTGTAAATTATATATGTCTAAATATCCAATATTTTCATGTT